TTGGAAAAATTATAAAGTCAGTTAATGCCCTGAGGATAGCATAAACAAAGATGTTTTTGTTTTTTAACCTCTGAATAAGTTCCTGAGAGTTTTCTGAATAATAAATGAGTAGGAAATTTTCCAGCCAGCCTCTCTAGTGTAGTTGGTTGAAAAGCTGCAGATAAGTCCTTAGTGAATATTAGAACTGTGTGGGTCCAGAGGAGACTGTGAGAAGCAGTTTCTTATAACCCACTTAATTTGTCCCAGAAACTGGAATGCCAAATCAGCACCTCCCAACCTGCCAAGCACACACCATGCAGGAAAACAGATCAGATGGTTAAATAGAGCAATTTGTAATGGGACAACATTTGGGTATTTGTTTTTAAAGTCACACACACACACACACACACACACACACACACACAGAAGAAGAAGAAATCTATGTAGCTTATTTCAGAATAGCTCACATGTTTTTCTAGTCTATAGACTGAGGAACTCTATCCTGTAGGACTTCTCTAGTATAAAAAAGCATAAAATATGGATTTTGCCCTTGGAGAGGTTAATAGTTAAAATGAGGCTATATTTAAATCCCCCTTCTAAGCAAATTCCCACCTTTCTTGGCCCCATAAATAAAGCCAGTGTGACATGGCTGAATATTGGAAATCTTTTAATTTATCACGAGGTTTAAAAAATATCCTATGTTTTATCACCAGTACCACTAAGAGTGTAAACTTTATATCCCTTCAGTCAACTAGAAGAGAAGGCAGTTGTTTGTATCGTCCTTAACTGTGTTTTGCCCCCCAAACTCTTTGGAAATTGCACAGGCTATTAATTTTACACACCAGTTATTTTTTTATTTAATAAACCAAATATGGAGAATTTGTGTATTGACTTTGCCTCTGCAGTTGAACTATGTATGCACTATACAGTAACATCACAATAGAGAGACATTTCTCAGTGGGTTTAGCCTGCATGCAACTCTGATTGCCTTTAATTAGGGGAAAATCAGAAGCTCAGAGAATAACAGATTTGAAGTCAGTTAAAATCAGAGTAATCAACTTAGAAAAAAAATCATCTCATATATCTTAATTTTTAACCATAGGATAATAGTTTAAGTATTGAATTACTTTTTCTGTCCCTTCATATTTCTCAAATTAGAGTACTAACATTGATAGAGTTGGCATGGGAGAACTGCCAAATCTCTGGGAAATGAGAGGCTCCTCCCAGCTTCATAAAAGCCTAGGGGAAGAAAAAACTGAGAAAGCCACAGTTCTGCCTGAGAGTTATATTTGGATGGTCCTAATACAAAGGCTCTCTGATTGAGCATGGTCTCACAGTCAGGTAGGGGGAGGAAACCAACTAGCCTTTTGGCTTCACTAGGAACAAGGAGATGATAACTTGGCACACTGCAGACAAAGTGCTGGCAGTTTAAATTTTTTTTCTCCCCAACCAGGCTTGTCTTTAAAAATAGGAAAATAGTGGGGCATGGTGGCACATGCCTGTAAACCAGGTGACTCAGGAGATGGAGACAGGTGGATTGCCAAGTTAGAGGTCAGCCTGGGCAACTTAGTAAGACCTGTCTCAAAATAAAAAAAAAATAACAAGGGCTGGAGATGCAGCTTAGTAGTAAAGCACCTCTGGATTCAATCTCCAGTATTGAAAAAAAATTTTTTTAACTTAAAAAAAAGGAAAACAGGCAGGCGCAATAGCGTGCACCTGTTGTTCCAGCTATTGGAGAGCCCCACCAAGACAGGAGGAGCTCTTAAGCCCAGGGATTCAAGATCAGCCTGGGAAGCATATTGAGACCTATGTCTTAAAAAAAGAAAAAAGAAAAACGGGAAAACTTCAGGAGTATTATGAACCAAAAATAAAACATAGAATTTATTCTTCCCATGATTGGCTTTCATGAACTTTGAGAAATTAGAGGTGATTGCTTTCAGGATTTTTAAGCTGGTCTCATATGGAACTAAGGAAGAGGACAAACACATGTGAACAGACAACCTTTTTTCTTGGAGTGAAGACAGCCCTGGTTTTCATGATAGGACTATCCCAGAACAATTGGGAGAAAAATGAAATACATGGAGTGCATGTTTGCCTGTATTAGCTTCAAGATGGTCAGAATTTTTAAAAATCTGCTCATTTCTATTCCACTAGAAAAAAGGGATCCATTAGGACCAGGCTCTGGGATGTCACAGTGTGTATCAGCCACCAGAGTAGGATGAGTATTCGTGACCTGGGAATTACTAATGTTCCCTATGATCATGAAGCAACGTGTGCAGTTAATTACTGTTGCCTGTGGCTGCTCTCACATCTTGAAACTCTCCATGACCCAACTGCAGAAATCCTGTTTGTCTGCTTCCCACCACCTCCTCCAAAGAATGAGAAGTAGCAAGTTGCAAGGCTGGGCTTGTTGGATGAATGCGATTTGTTTTTGTGGAACCAGAGGTTGTGGAGGCTGTTGGCTTGTCATTAGATTTGTGAAATGACTTCATGGTCAGCGTCTCCAGATGAGTTGCATGTGGAGGTGTGGATGTGTGCTAGATGAAAACCTGTCTGAATGTACTTCCTCTCTCTCTTTGTGTGTCTTGGATCATACAGTAGGTGAAGCCATCTTCCTGCTTTCATGCATGGGGCCAGGGTCCCGTGGCCCTTGCCTGTCCAAGCCCAAGTCTTCTTGTAACTCTGTGGCCTAAGGCTTCTTCTTTTTCTTCCTTTTTTTTTTTTGTTTTGGTATTTTCCCCTGATATAAATAGCTAATTATCTAATACTCTATAATAAATATAATTTTCACCATTAATATGTTCTCATTTCTTCACTTCCTAGAGCATTAAAAAGCAAACATCTTTCTTCTTTATAATACACTTCTTTTTATTAAAGTGACTTCCCTTCTCTAGAGGACCTCCCTCACTCCCCCACTCTCCCTCCAGAACACACCAACAACTTGGCTAATCAAGATAGATTAGCATTAACTTTTTCATAGATCATGATAGGAAGTGATATCAATATAGGAATTGTCATGGATATTGTTTTTTAAGAATGACTATTTGAATATAATAGTTATTAGATTTTTTAAATTACAACCAAAATAAACAAACCACAAAAGGCCTGAAAATAACTTGATTCTCTGGAGAAAGAAACACACTTCCTGGATAGTAATACTTTCTATCATTTAGACTTGATTGCCTGGTGGTGTCACCCAAACTAATTAATAATGACATATTAGTTAACATGTTGCCATCAGCAGGTGGCTATTGGAACAGGGGTGAAAACAGCATGTGCTAAAACAAATTGTACCTTAGAGAAAATGTGCAGTTGTTCTTTAAAAGTCTTCATGATGGCCGGGCACAGTGGTGCATGCCTATTAACCCAGCAGCTTGAGAAGCTGAGGTAGGAGGATCACAAGTTTGAGGCCAGCCTTGGCAACTTAGTCAGACCTTCTAAGCAACTTAGCRAAACCCTRTTCCAAAGTAAAATAAGTAAATTAAAAGATCTGAGGATATAGCTCAGGGTAACACAACCCTGGATTCAATCCCCAGTATTACAAAAAGTCTTCGGGATATTTGCAATACGATTAAAAAAAMCATTTTTTAAGTTGTAAATGGACACAATAACTCCATTTATTTATTTATTCATTTATTTTTATGTGGTCCTAAAGCTCAAACCAAGGGTCTCAAACCTTTGAGGCAAGTGCTCTACCACTGAGCTACAGCCCCAGCTCTGTAGTATGATTTTTTWAAAAAAWWWTTTTWRKT